TGTGTGCTGGATGGACCAGTAATGCTTGACATGTTAGTATGAGAATATGGGCACAAAAGGGCATGACCTTAGATTTAAGGACTGGAAGTCTCCCAAGTCCCACAGTGTAAACTTTATGTGACAGTCTGAGTGCTGCTGTGAGATGGAGCCAACAGCCCAAGTAAAAGCACAGACTCTCAGGTACTGGTTAAATTTTGGATTTCAAGGTTTCAGAAATTTAAATTGCTTCCACTGTCCAAAGCAAGTGACTCCAGAGAGACTGATGGGCAAATGTGTTTGTATAACACTAAATTGACGAAGGACAAAAGAAGAGACATTGATTTGTTTGGTTTGCATTTGATTATACACAGATTTATTTATTTTTTTAATGGCAGCTTCTTTGAGTGACAAATTGAGTCATTCTCTGTATCTTTTAACTAGTGGCTGGAAAACACCTGCCTGAGAAATGAAGGGCCTAAATAAGAACTGTGTAAAATCAAAATATATCTTTTGAAATACATTTCAGACAGACCGAGACAGCAGCAAGTTCTTAGCAGCATGCCAATGCCTATGCAGCAGCATGCTGCAGAGCAGGCCTGGCTTCTGCGGCTGTGAGCCTGTTTCTCCACACTTTAGTTTCCTGTAACTAATCTATCAGTATGCAGGGTTTTTTTCTCTACTTCCACTTTTCCAAATGACATAATTACCTTTGGCAGTCAAACCACTGCACTGAGGTTACCTCTAGATTGAGCAATGTTATATGCTGGTGCAAACTCCAGAAAGCCAATCCCCAACATTTTCCCTAGTTACGAGTTGGCCAAGGATGACTTGTTTCCCTCTAGCCCTTGTGCATGGATTTCCTTTCTGTAAAAACTGATGGGGAGCAGAGTGGTATTTAGCAGTGGAGCAGTGGTGCTTTTATTAGACGTGTGAACTCTCTGCTGTGTCTGTGCAAGAGACTCCTCCTTGTGTTACCATGCAGCAGAACTCTGTGTTTGCAACCTTACACTGCAGCTGCTGTCCCATCATTTGATCCCCAAGCACCTGAGGCAGGAGGTGCTGGATGTGGGATCTGCTGCTGCACACCACACACCTGTGGCAGATGGAGCTCTGCAGCTAAGGGGCTGCTGCCAGAGCCAGCAGGCAGAAACTGTGCTGCTCTGTGGAGTCTCCCTCACTGGAGACATTCAAAACCCACCTGGATGAGTTCCTGTGTGATGTACTCTAGGTGACCCTGCTCTGGCAGGGGGGTTGGACTAGATGATCTCTCGAGGTCCCTTCCAGCCCCTAAGATTCTATGATTCTATGATTCTATGATTAGGAAGCCTGTAACTAGAAAAGCTCTGCTAGAAGCATGCCACTACTCTCTGTCTCTTGATGCATATATATGATATGCATGGTACTAGTAACTGTAATATTAATGCATTATAAACATTTCATCAGCATATTCCTAACTGAAGATAACATGATTGCTTTTCTTCATCTTTCAAAATAATTTGTTCTAAGTGTTTTTAAGGAAATACATAAAATTACATTTGCCTTTTTTTTTTTTTCCCAGTCAACCTAAAAATGCAATCTGTTGCTGATGCTTTGGTAGAGAAAAGGTTTGTAAAAATATTAAGATATTTCCAGCCAATTAGAGGAAGACGTGATTAAATAGAACCAAACTTTCTTGCAATGTTTCTTTCAAATGCAGAACGATCTTGTCAGAGTCATTATGTTTTACAAAACCAGAAATTTTAATTTGACCTCTAAAACAGTGTGTTTGCTGTAATGGCCCGCTAAAAGTGGGCCTTTTATTCCCAGTTCAATATTGTGTACTACTCTGTTGGCTTCTGTGAGTGATCAACATATGAACCTCTACAGTTTCATAACTGCCTTCATTTTACCAGAGCAAAACAAAGTCTGTTCAAATATATGTTTCATCCCTCTTGTACAGCAGTTCAAACATATTAATTATTATAAGCTAAGTGGCCTACATGTCTGTTCAGACTCTGCTTGCTATTTCTTCCACTTAACTGTTTCAGTTGCAAAGCTGAAGGACATCCATGTCTAAATAGATTATGCATTGATGAATTGGTTGCTTTTAAAAGCAAAGGGCTATGCCATTCAGCCATTTTTATGCTTACTGAGCAGTATATTGTTAGAAAAACAGTAGTGAGAAGACTGCATCACTTTTTGCAGCCACGCATCTTGCTGCGTTAGGATATCAGCAGTGTAGTCGGGTTTTCCCAGTCCCTGGATGAATTATTCAGGCTCTTGACATCAGAGGTTTCCACTAGCGGATTGGCTGGTGCTTGGATAATAAAATCTTTCCTCAGGAAAACAGTGGAGAAGGATGACAGCAGTGAGACCAGAGCTGCTACTCCAAATACAGCTGGCTTTGTCTGGCTGCTGCATCTCTGCAAGAATATATAAAAATATTTTTAAGGTTTGGCTTCATGTGAATTCTCCAGTGAGAGCAAGCAAAGCGATTTGTGTTAAAGGCCTGCATTTTCAGTGAAGGAAAAAAATCAGATAGTTCTTGAAAAATTACTTCTGGCTGTATTCTAAAGAAACACTGCATGCTACGTGAGGCAGGAGTAACAGCAGCAGCAGTGTTGATGGCTCGCTACAAAGGTGCTGGTGGCAGAAATGTCACGTTGGTAAATCTGCTCCCAGGGTTCTTTCAGTACCAGCAGGGTAAGTGTTGCATGTAAGGAGCTGACAGCCCTTGTGAGTGGGGAGAGCATAAGAAATTGTATGACATGTGTGTTGTGATTGTAGATAACCAGTATCTCTGTGGAGAATTTGTATCGGTTCAATGAATTTCCAGAGAAATCTATAAAAAAATATATTTCTTATGGAATTTGTAAAATCAATCCTCTACTTGTGTTGTGTTCAGCCATAGGTTTTACAGTGGTGAAATCTGTTTCATTTAAACCTATACAAAATAAGTGCTATAAAAAGGGAAACTTTATAATCAATAATGTGCTCTTTATGAGCCCTATTCCTAAATATAACTAATAATATATTGCTCATGTATATTCCCTTGAAAGAGATTATTTTGACAGGCAATTTCTGCTGTTTGTTGATACGAGTAGACCTCAAGCTGGGAGATGGTTGCCTGATTTCCAGTTACTGTCAGAAGGCTGCTGCTTAAGTTGTCAGGATGCACGGGAACTGCAAATTAAGGAATCATTTTCACTCATTTCTTTGATGAGACATTTGACTTCTAAAGGCTCAATTCTTTTCTTTTGGCATGCCATTGGGGTTACTGGGGAATTTTAGGTTGTAGAGATGTGAATGAAGCCTAGAGCTGCACTGATTCTGTGGACTCCTGTTCTCTGTTCCCCGCATCTCTCACACAACCCAATCCAAGTGTGCAAATACTTCCATTGGAATTAATTGGACTACATGAATATGTAACGGCTAGTCAGAGCAGAGCTGATATTTACTATATAACAAAGAAAACACCTTGTTCGTAGTTAGAAACTATAACGTGAGAAATCTGTTTTCCAAAATGCAGAAGCAATCATGTATAAATAACGACATCCCTAGCCAAAAGTAGTCAATATTGGGTGAAGCACAACACAGTTCTTTGAGTGATATTTTTCATAACTTGCTTGTCAGTGCAACAATTAGATTCTGAGAATGTAGTGGTTTTTAACTTATCTAAGACAGCCTACGTAATTAAATAAAACAAAAATAAGATATAGAATGCAAAATTATTTTCTTAGACGTTAAGTGTGCTAAACTAGCAATATCTAGAGAGATATGTATCTTATCTTTCCTCTGGTGTGTCTTATATGTGAGCTCATATGTAATCAGGAAACTATTTTTGTCCTACTTCAAATACTTTTTGGCTGGTGATTTTTGTGGTACAATTTTTATCTTTAGGTACCCTCCTTGTGGGGCAGCATTATGAGAGTGTAAATCAGGGAACTTAGTAGTAGTAGTACATCAAACTTCTTAGTTATCTATTCCAGAGCTTTAAAAGGGATTAAATAATATTCCTTTTTAATTTTACAGATGTGAAAGAGATAAATCACTATTAAGTGCTGCACAAGTCAGTAGCAAAGACAGTATCTAAAATTAGATTTTCTGTTTGTAGGTTTTGGGACATGCCTGTGTTCTTATAAAAAAAACCAAAATATTTAACAACATTGGATTTTCTGGTGGGAAATGAAGGTGATAATTCAGAGCTGATGGTAGTGTTAACATGATTTCTTTTTCAGTGAAACAGGTATTCTCTTTTATTTCTGAAAGAAAAATCCCCAACATAAATACTTGATTGCCACCTATGTGAAATTATTCTATGTGTCAAATTTGATTCCCCACAACGAAGGAACAGGACTTCATGGATTGGTTATGGCACTGTGATTCTCTTCCCTCCCCAGCCATGACCCTGTCTGCTGAAGTTGGAGGAGCTCATTCAGGAGCTATTTTTGTCTATGCTGCTGGCAACAGTCCCTCAGGGACTATCTGAGAATCAGTGAAATTCATTATAAATCAGACAAGTTCTTCAAAACAGGACTAAGGGAAGTACTGAGTAGCAGTATAGAAACTGCCTGAACAAGCTAATGCCTATTTCCTGGCTGGATCTCCCGGAGGACAAATAGGCTTGATAATGCAATTTCAAGTTATTAATTCAATTATATAAATCTTTCCAAATGAACATACTAAGAGTATTTTTCTAAGTCTCTAATTGATTCTCTAAAGAAAAGCAACTTGAGTGTCAGAGACATGGATTCTAGTTAAAAGTACACAGAAGTTCTAATTACCTTGGGTAATTATGATATGCACCTAGATGTCAAATTTATCTTGGCATTCAGATTTGAAATGGTGTCTTACTGTTTCTTCACTTGTTAACACTTGAACTTTGCTATGAAACACTACAAATAGTCAAGTGTCAGAGCGTTACTATAAGAATGTGAAGTATTTATTTTGGGTAGTTACAGGCAAAATTAACTGTCTCAAGAAAACAGGTATGTCTAATCAAACTGCTTTCCTTTTTTTTTTTTTTTTCCTCAGATGAGCAAGAGTCAGTGCAGAAAAGGACTTTCACAAAATGGATCAATACTCACCTGGCTAAGGTAATATATGGCTTCAAAATGTATTTATTTGATTTTTTTAATTGAACATTTTTATCTCTGCTCGTGCAGGCCCTGGTGTACAGAGTATGTCAGATTTGGCTGATAAGAGTGGCATAAACTTAAAAAGAAATCCCCACTGTCTGTATACTATAAGGAATGAATCAATTTCAGCACAGTATCAGTCAGCTGCAGTGTTGAGAGTGGCATCTATACAAGCAACTGCCCAGCTCCTTTGGCCAAAGCTAAAATGTAGTATCACAGCTGCTGTTTAATCCAGAGGAAATATCTGAAACTGCTTCCTATAATGCAGAAATATTAGGCTTATTGCATAGAGTGTGTTTGAGTAAAACTTGAGTCAGTTGTTGTGTAGTTTGATAAAGACACCCTGAACTGGTCACAGATTAAAACAATGCTTCAGGAATCCAGTGCTGAACTAATTATCTGATACATATTGGGATTTATCATGAGACTATTGTTGCTTCTTCTTACCACAATTTAAACCTCCTTTTTTGGTTTTAGCACAAAGACAATGATTTATATACGATATTTAAAGTATTTGGAATGTAATTGAGTAATTTACTGTGAAATTAACTGCAGTAGCAGTATAAAATTCAACTGCAGGAACAAGGTTATCTTCAGGACGTCTTGACAGTGGATCTTTACTGGGAATGCAGTCTGTTCTCCCATTCTCTTAGAAATAATTTGGAAAAGTTACCCATGCTGCAGAGAACTTAATCCCTCTTTGTATGTTCCATTTACTTCAATTGAGATGGAAGGACACTCAGTATTCGTTAAAACACTGGAAAAGCAGGCTGTGAACATGTGTCAGAGGAGAAAACTCTCTCTTATTTCAGGTTCTTCTATTTCCTAATTGTATTGTGTCAATAATAATAGATCAGTATTATCCAATAGTAATTGACAAGTAGATCTATGCACATATTGTTCAGTATGTGTATGTGCGCATGTAATGATAATTTGCTAGAAATAGCTGATCAGTATTTGAAAGGAGGCAAAGTAGTGGAGGCAGCTCTGTTAAGAGATTTTTCTCTTGATTACTAGTTGCAAATTCTTCTTTTACTGTTCTAATCTCACTGGGCTCAGGTAAACCTTTTAACTTGTGTGATCTAGGTGTATATTTCTTCAATGGGTCCAACATTGTAAAAGCTAATAAAATACTTTCAAAATAAGCAGTTAAGAAGCCATAGCCGTCACTTTTACCTACCTGAGCTACCCTGTAGTAATTTTTTCTGTGTTAACTCACCCTTTAACTGAAAAGTTGTTTCTGTGATACTTTTATGGATGGCTCATCCATAACGTCAGCACGTTTGCCTCACTACCTAAATCAGATGTATATATTAGCTGGCTTTGCTTCCCATGTGTGCTGTTACCCTTCCATGGGAGAAGCACTGTTTATAGGGATTAGACTCAACAGAAAAGGAGTGACCTATGGTATTCACATTTTTCAGATTTTAAAGCTTAAGTTTTTAAGTCTTTGTTAGTCATATTTTTGGAAAGCATGGAAATTTCTGAGTTCATCACAGCCGTAGGAAACACTAATGGATCTGTGAAATGCACAGGACTCCCCTTGTGCTCATGTTCCAAATTGTAATCCAGAAATTCAATATTCAGGTTATTTGATTATTGTAGAAGCTTGTTGCAGTTTTAATTATTTCCAAAGAGATTGGAAAGTTGTAACATCTCCACTGTCTGGAGGTCTTTGAAATGTGATAAGGAAAAATCCTGGAAGGAGACCCACTTTTATACAGTATTTAGGGGTAGCTGTTAGCACTACGCTACATCTATCCTTCTGCTGTCTGTCTCCCTAACTCCAGCTGAATCTATTCTGTGATTCTGACTTTGGGCTCTAGGGTCATTTGGCAACTGGAAACTCTTTCTGTGCCATCCACTTGCAGAAATTGGCTCACAATCTATCAAATCAAAGTGATCTATCTTCTGCTCAGCTAGTTTAATTTTTGTGGATATGTAAAGTTCTACTAATGATAAATGATACATGCATGTGTAACAGGACAAGAAATTTTATAATTTCATGTTATTTATTGATACTTCTCTAAGGTTGTAGAATGAGAACTCCTTCCTCTTAGTCTTCAAAGGCATAGAAATAATTTGAGTATGCTTCTGAGTATCTTTTGAGGCATCTCTTCATAGCCTAAGTTTAAAATACAGAAAAATGTTACACCAAATTTGCTCTGGTTTGTGCATGTGGATAGCTTTTCACACATTTTTTCAGTACTTTATGAAACATCATTTGAAAATTAATGTAACAAATATAGTCTCCATTGGCATTCACTATGACGTAGATACTGCTGCTTGGATAGTACGATTTAAGTACAGGGTGTGAAGAAAAGACTCCTGTAGCAAAGATGCAAATGAGCAATGAAATGCAAGAAAAAATGTTGGAAGACTGAAGCTTAGCAAATATACATTGGTTCTATATCTGAGATTTGGATTTTACAATACTTATTTTACTGTGCTTTTCTTGATGATTATAGGGGTTTGAGAGGTTATTTCATATACTTTTAAAATTATATTTTTTCTTGGTTTAAAAATTACTTCATTGAATTCTTTGCACTAGCTTTCCTGTAGTCAAAGTAGTGCTTTAGGATCATTGCAGTTGATTGCACTGCTACAGCTATACATTTACATGCAAAAAGCCAAAAGCCTGGAGTAAATTCAGCGTTTTCAAGATTACAAAATTTTAAGTTACTTTTTTTCCCCTGCTTTCACTGATTCACAGGTAGTATTTTGGCAATGCATTAAGGTAACTAAGCAAATAGATGTTAAATCCAATTCAGTCTCTAGAACAAAAAATGTTCAATAGATTTTCATTGAACACAGCTTAAAAAAAAACCCAGACTGCTTACATGTACGTTCCTTGTGGGATTCCAAATCCTGCCAGCAAAACTGCTCCAGCGTGGACTCCTCTGTCCATGGGTCCACAGGTCCTGCCAGGAGCTTGCTCTAGAGCTGGCTTCCCACAGCATCACAGCCTCCTTCAGGCATCCACTGCCTGCTCCACCGTGGACCTCCATGGGCTGTAGGATAGTCTGCCTCACCATGGTCTTCACGAGAAACTTAAGTGTAATACTTGCTCTAGTGTCTGGACCACCTCCTCCCCCATCCTTCTTGACTCACCTTGGTGTCTGCAGAACTGTTTCTCTTGCATATTCTCACTCCTCTCTGGCTGAAATTGTACAAGGTTTTTTTTTTCTCCTACTCAAACGTGTTATCCTAGAAGTGCTGTCACCATCTCTGATGGGCTCTCCTTTGGCTAATTGTTGGTCCGTCTTGGAGCCAGCTGGCATTGCCTCTGTTGGACAAAGGAGAAGCTTCTACCAGCTTCTCACAGAGATCAGCCTTGTAGCCTCTGTATTACCAAAACCTTGCCACACAAACCAAATATACCTCTATAAGAACCTGTCTCTCCATTATTGTAAAGTGAATTTCAAGAGACAAACCTCAATACTTGGGCATTTAGGTAGGTGGTGAGGTTATTTAGGCCTTCACCTCCCATTGGATTAGGATGGCAGCTGCTATTATACTCTTGTCTTGCATGTAATTCTTCAGTATTATATCATGCAGCAATACTGATAAAACCAAAGCTGCTCTGAACTTCAAAGGGGAAATGATAGCATAGAAGGTGAGAAAATTAGTTGCTTTTATGTCAACTCCCTGTGATTCAAGACTGGGACAATTTATTTTTCAGTGACCTGTTTGCTGCATTGATTTCTTTGGAGTTATATTAAGGAAAAACACAATCCATTATCTATTGCATTGCTAGGAAATAAAAAGGAAATATAATTAAGTATACCCTCCTAATGAATGGTCATGATGCTTTATTGTACATACATGAGAGAACAGACTTTTCTTATTGTGGCTATTAGAGTACATCAAATCTCAGAAATCTGCTCTTAGCAGAAGAGTTCTTTTTCCACTTTATGCCAAAACTACCCTTCATTGAAATATTAGTTCATCCAAGCTGAACACTGAAGGCAGGACGTTCTGATTTTGGGACCTAGAAACCTTTAGCATGTTTACCTTTTCAGAAGTGTTTCATTTGTTATGTTAATCTTGTCAAGTCTGTCTCTCCAGAAGTAACATCAGATTGTTTTATAAGCAACTTTTTTTTCAGAAGTATCCCAAAAGGAAATTATTAAACTTCAAAAGTATTTTCAAGAATTTCAAAGTCTGATTGTCATTTTATTGAATTAGAAGGTATGAATATTAGTATTATAATAATTAGCAGGCATATGATTGCTGACAAGCTAATGGAAGCTAGAGAGTGTTTGTTTCATTTATTTCAGCTGGACCAAATATAAACTTTTTGTTTCTAAGAGACATTTTGTGATTATTAAAGTATTGACCAGTTGACAGCCATAGTTCCACAAACTGGGATCTATTTAAGAAGATAGAGTTTAATGATGTGATCTTTTTGTTCCAAATTCTTCATCATCTGTTTACATATTTTTCAGTATTATCATTGTGTTTGTGAATGTAAAGACACACTAAGCAGTTTGTTTTGAGTAGGAGCTGACATGGTGCTAAGATCCCTGGAAGTCTGAAAGAGAGGAGAGAAAATACAGCATCATAATGTAACAACTCTCAGCTGTGAGAAAGTGGCAGAATTGCTCAACCAGCTACGCTACTGGAGGGGTCTTTCCTTCTCACAGCTCCTTGCATTGTTCAGCCTGAAAGAGTGATTTTCTGTTGCGCACTTAACACTAGGGAAAATATATGACAAAATACACTGATGAATTGCAGTGTGACTGTATAGAATGTGCTGAAGTTGTGCGTGTGTTACAGACTCACAGGCGGTTCTTGGTGTGTTTCTTGGCTTGTGTTAGAGAGCAGGATGTTTCTCCATTATATTGTTAGTGGCAGAAAGCATCTTGTGTCACAGTCCTGCAACCAGAAATGTTAGTTAAACGATATGGTGACAAAGCAATGGGTAAAAGATACATTGATATTAAACATTATGAAATATAAAGAAAGGGACCAGCCACTCTGTGCTTCTGTTTGAAAATAAGGGAGTTAGGATGTAATGCTGGTGAGTCTTTCTAATATATGAAGTCTTCTCGCTTTTCAGCGCAACCCTCCCATGCTGGTGAATGATCTCTTTGAAGATATCAAAGATGGGGTAATGCTAATTGCTCTTTTGGAGGTTCTTTCAGGGCAGAAACTGGTAAGAACTACCTTCCTTTGAATAGAAAAGTTGCAAATTTCTCTAGGATATAATTTTCTAATACATTTCTGTATTTGAATAGTGTAAAAAAACCTGACTGGTACACAGCAGAGTAACTTTATTCACAGAATGGGCTATCTGGTTACAAAACAACAGAAAGAGATCGTTACAGACTGATGTTTTTTATATTACGCATTTTAAATTCATTTTGTCTTAGTAGCTCATAAAAGTTGCTTTTTTGTGATAGTCTTTGTAGTTCATCTGGGTGCTACTACTATGACATAAAAAAGGTCTAAACTGAAGGTATTTCTATACATCTTGAAGAAATAATTACAGTATTTTCCTGTTAAATTTATGGCTTTCTCTCTGAAAAACAAACAACAAAAAAAGGCCCCAACAAAATCAGTGAGCCCCCTCAGATCTCATGGGGTCTTAGATTCATTTAAGCTGACAGCTGCTTTGCTACTGTAAAGAATCTTAAATGATGCTAAATGGCTTTTTCACAGCCCCTGTGTGTAAAAGGCAAATAAGCTGTGTCTTGGGAGCCAGGCTGGTTCTGTGCATGTGATGTGGGAGAAAACAAATTGTTTTAGGCCAGGAGATCTCTCTTTTTTTTCCAAATCAGCTCACAGATCGGGTGGCAGCATCTGAAGGAGCAGGGCAACAATCTGTCATTTGGCTTTTGCTTTAGGGTTTAGGTGTAACCTGTTCCCTCACATGCAGAAAATTTGAAGGTGTCCCATTTTTGCCTCTTTTTTATATTTCGTCGCTGTTTTGTTGGCAGGGGTTATGCAAAATTAGGTAGTGATTATACTGTAGGATGGGAAAAAAGCTACGCTTTCAAGTGTTTTCTGCTCTGTTGAAATATACCGGTCTCTGTTTCTGTTCGTCCAAGACAGAAAGTCTCCCTCTTGTGGCAAAACAGAAGTAGTAAAACGGGAAAAAAAATATTAATGATGGCACCTGTTACAGTGAAATTCAGTGGATTGTGTTCTGCCTGCAGTAATTAGTGAAAGAGAAAAGATATTCCAAAACCAGAATAATTTATGGGTAATGTAAAGGTTTTGTTTACCCGATTACAATATACTATAGTAACTGCAAGAGGAATTTCAGAATCTGTAGCAGCCTTTGTTAAATCCATTTGTAACTTTATGAACACGATTTTAAATGAAAGTAGTTGTGTATTGGCATTACAATATAGAATTAAGTGGGAAATTAAATTCCACTGTAGGGTATTAGAAGTCTAGAATATGATCTTATTTTAGTTCAAATAATTCTTTCTTTTTTTAACCTATGTGGCTGTAGTCCAGCAAAATTCATTGTTCAATAAGGGTTTTTGATATCTCAGGTTTTTTTATTCTCCAATAAAATATTAAGATGGTTAAAAATCCTCCAGGTAAAATGTTTTTACTGTAGTCTGGTTTCTAAAAATAGCAACCACCTTGACTTCTCCTTTCCAGGTAAAAATATTTGACTGAGAAAATTCTACCATCTCAAATATATGTGTTCGTGGGTATAAAAATAGTAGTAGTTTATTTTACCTAAGTGAAACAGTTCTCTCATTAGATGACAACTTGCATCCTGAGGTTATAAAGAAATATTTAACTTTTTAATACTAGAAATATCACATTTGTGTCCCTGATATCTGTCAGTCCTCCCTATTGGTATATGCAAAACCAGAACTTGACTGTTCCAAGGAACATTTTTACATGTAAATCAGACAATGGAATGCATACAGGCATTTGTAATAATCTGGAACTTAATGTTTTTTGCAGCAAATGGGCATAAAACTAATTGTAGCTTACACTGCTCTTTCTTTTTAAGCCTTGTGAGCAGGGACGTCACCTGAAGAGAATTCACTGGGTTGCCAACATTGGCACAGCTCTTAAGTTTCTAGAAGGAAGACGGGTAGGTTTGGTAGTACCTAGTCCTGTTTTTTCCCTCTTTTTTTTTTTTTTTTTTTTTTTTTTTTATTTTTTTTTTTTTTTTCACCCCCC